GGAGGGGCTGAGCCCGGCCGAGCCGGGACACCCGGGAAGCACCGACACGGCCGGGGAACCGGACTGGGTGACGGCGTTCGTGCAGAGGAAGGAGGAGCGGGACAAGGTGGACAGGCTAAAGGTTGGGAAACGCTCGTCTGTAGGGGATGGGTGAGATAACGAGGAAGGGATTGGGAAGGCTGGTATCACAGAATGGCTGGGACTGGAGGGGGCCACTGGAGGTCATCTAGACCAACCTCCCGGCTCCAGAGCCCCTGGAGCAGGATTGTGCCCAGACGGCTTTTTAATGCCTTCAGGGAAGGAGACTCCACAGCCTCTGGGCAAACTGTTCCTGTGTCCCGGGTGATGAGTGGAAAAACACGTGAGGCAAATTTGGTGGTGGTCTGTCTGTCACAGGAGTTTGTTTCCATGAAGAGGGATGAGGCATTGCCCTGCGGGTTGCATAAGACAGGAAACAATATTGCTTTGAACAGAGCAACACGCAGTAGGTGCTCGAGGAGAACAGGCCTGTGTACTAACAATTTCAGTGTTAATTTTTCTCTACACCCAGAGCTTAGTTATACCAAGGGTTGAGGACTAAATACAATACTCTCCCTTTATTGTAGGAAGAGCAGATCAGGAGGAAAAAGCGAGAAGATCGTCTCGAGAAAATTCGCAATAACGTGCAGTTAAAATATGCAGCAAAGAGGAAGGTGAGTTATTCCACAGAGATTAGAACCTTCTGTTTTGGTTACATTGAGTGTTGTTCATACTTGTTTACATCTGTGACTTCACACTGCCTTTCCGAGGAGCCTTTTGTATTCAGATGCTGAAATTTGCCATCCAAAATTTTTGGTTAGATTTTGTTTTAGAAGTACAGATGTGAAAAACAATTTGTGCATCAATAATTTCCTCTGGGTGTGTTTGTGTATGGGTGGAAATGACGTGTGTTTTGATGACCTCTGCCCCTCTGCTTCTCTTTAAAAGTTTTAATACTTAGATTTTTTTTTGTTTTGAAAACTCTGCTTTATGAGCATGTGTGAGCTCTCTGTACTTCTGGAATAAAAACTGTCATTAAATTTATGGTCATGGGAACAGAATATCACCCAAAGGAAACCAGGTCAGGCCTTGGTTGTACTTCAGTCACCACTAGGGAACAATTGTTTTTGTTTACTTCCACGGTAAACATGATTGTATTGTTCAGAAATGTTTCTTTTCTGAATGCAAAATGTTCTCAGATATATTTTCCTGTAATTTAGATTAATGGACTGGCCTCAGTACTCTTAGCTCTAAGAGGTTTTTGATGGTACGAGTGGAACTTCCCAGAAATACATATTTCAAGTCCCCAGTAGGCAGATTTATGAGGCTGCCAGGCTGTTAGTTTCTAGTGTGCTCCATCTCAAGTGTCATGTAATGTTTTGGTCAACTCCTGTCAGAGGGACGTGACAGAAATAGTGAAGAATGGAAATAAAAAACAAGTGGAACAAAGACCTTGTCTCTTTTAAGAGGCTGAAGAGCCTGTGAAATGAGAAGCATGATAAAAAGCAAGAAAGTAAATGAGAGAAATATTATAGAGATTTGGAAAAGCAATTAATCTTCTGTGTAGGGCTTACCAACTGCATTTCTTTATAATGCCATGGTAATAAAACACTCACTGACATTGGAAGATACGGTTTTCAGATTGAAAAACAAACTTTATCAGGACACAAAGTTAACCAAGAAACTGTTCTTCAGCAGCTGAATGCAACTTTTGTTGAAGGCTAGACCTGTGTTAGAATAACAATCACATAACTGGAGAAAAAACCAGCAAGGGAAGTCTTGTGCTCTGTGTTCTAAAACAGATGCTGAGTTAATCCTAGTTTTGAATTAAATGTACATGGAGTGTTTGATTATATCCTTATATGTTTGCTTGGGTTTATTTACGCACTTTTTTCCTCAGGCAGATTTGGGCTACTTTAAGCAACTAATACATGAATGTTTCATTGAGGATCTATTAGTTCAGCAGGCCTTTGGCATACAATTTTCTTTATGTTTCCCTTTTGTAACTGTCTGTGTGGGCAAGTCTTTGATTGTTTGCATTCTGTGGGGCTGAACAGCTTCAGACCCCTTTGGTGCACGCACTTGCCCTGCTGTGGGTTTGCCCAGCAAGTCATTCCCTGTGCTGTGTGCGAGGGACTGCTGTCTTCTGACCTGTCTGTGCCATGAAGTGATGCTCGTGCTGCCTCTCTTTTTATATGAGAAATACTGCACTCCTGTGTTCCTCTCAGAGATCCGAGGAGGAGGAGACGAAGCGCCTTCTCCAGCTCAGCAAGGAGGCTCTGTCACAGGGAGCTGGAGACGATGTTCTGGACCAGCTGGATCACAATGAGGAGGAGCTGATTCTTGCTGAATATGAGAGTGATGAAGAAAAGAAAGTGGTATCTGGGTAAGGACAGGGACTGAGGGGGTTCCACGCCAAAGAAACATTTTCTGTGTAGTTTTTGCCTTGCTCAGATTAAAGAGATGTCACCCGTAATGGTGCAGATTTTATTCAAAAGAGTTTCTCATCTTTTCAGGCTGTGTAAGGTAGTGGTTGTTCTGGGGTTTTGTTTAATTGGTTGTTTGTTTTTTTAAGCTTTTCTTAGATTGATCAGAGTAACCTGAAATGCTTTCTGAGAGAGTGCGTCTTAAAATGCTTGGCAGTGTCCTGCCTTTATCCATGCCCAGTTTCCCAGAAAGTGCCTCTGGATGCTGAGCGAATGACTCGAGATTAAGTTCCTTGCGTTGGAAAAGCAGAATGGAACTCAGGACATCAGAGGGAGCTGTCAGTCCTGTAGATTAGCACTGGCATCTTTTGATACTCTAAAGGGAGAGAGATGTTCACATTTCTAAAGAGGGAGCTTCGGCATGAAAATCTCACGCACAGTTTTCTCTCTCGTGCATTTGGTTTATGGCAAAAGCCAGAAGTCATAATTCAGCACAAAAAGTCAAATGTGTTTAAAATACAAATTTAGTAATTAGTATCTAGACAGATCTTTCTGCCTTAAAAAGTGAAAAATACTTAACTTCTTCATTTATATGCAGTTTATCAAACATTAAACTGCTGTTGCCTTTGAGGAACTCTGTGGCAGCCGAGGGCTTTCCTGAAGCTTTTCTTTGTGCAATAGCTGGAGGGTGGTAAATTGCCTCTACAGGGAAAGCTTTACACAAATAAATAGATAAATAAGCTCACCAAAGAATGGTATAGCAGTGATTAACTTATGCCTGGGGCTTAGAAGCCCCAGAATCAAAAGAAAAAAACCTCTTGAATTTGCAAAAGGCAGAACCCTAAAGACATTTTCCTTTTAAAGAGCAAAGCTCGACTTGATTGTGCACGCTTACACTTTTCTTAAAAAGCTGATTTTTCTTTTACCACCTGGGTTAAGATCTGAGGCTTTTTTTTGAGATGCCTTAACCAGCTCTCTCTTTTGAGACCTCTCTCTTGTAGTAGAGCATAATTTGATTCTTACTGCCACTGATCTGCTGAAAGGGAACTGTTTGAGCTTTCTCTTTTCTTAGGCTGGAAGAAGATGATGATGATTTGGAAGAGGAGCATGTGACTAAGGTGAGATGAGGAAAGTAAATAGTGTCATTTCATAAAATAGTGTAGGAGTGAGCAGAATTATGGCTTCCTTGCACCTTTCCAACAGTCATGTGGTACAGAAAGATTTAGGAACTAACTATATAAGAACTACCAAGTTTGTTGATAGTGACAACTAGTTCTGCTGTGCTCATCTCCTTCTGGACTACACTGGCTGGCTAAGCAGCTTGCTCTGCTAGCACTGCTTAATTTTTGCTGTGGCTTGCTGTAAAAGCACACTGCAATAAATAGCATTTTATTACTCTCCAATGGTGAGTCCTTGTTTTTATAGAGATGTTGGAAAATTAAATGGAAACAAAGACAAATGATAGGAGAAAACAAAGATGGGGCTTTTAGCCTCAACAGTTGTGACACTCAGACTTGTGTTTTTGAAGGCTTGAGCAAGGTGAACCTTGTTGAAGTGCTTGGCTGCATCCTTGCAGGATTGGTTGTAGGTAGGGGATTGGCTTCCACGTTCTTCTTGTCTTCCCTTTGTTCTCCCTTGCTGCAGATTTACTACTGCAGCCGCACTCACTCCCAGCTCTCTCAGTTTGTGCGCGAGGTGCAGAAAAGTCCTTTTGGCAA